CCCCGCCCCCAGGCTCCCACTCCCTGAGGTATTTCGCCACCGCCGTGTCCCGGCCCGGCCGCGGGGATTCCCGCTTCGTCTACGTCGGCTACGTGGACGACACGCAGTTCGTGCGGTTCGACAGCGACGCGGCGAGTCCGAGGATGGAGCCGCGGGCGCCGTGGGTGGAGCGGGAGGGGCCGGAGTATTGGGACCGGGAGACTCGGATCGCCAAGGGCAACGCGCAGACTTTCCGAGTGAACCTGCGGACCGCGCTCGGCTACTACAACCAGAGCGACGGCGGTGAGTGACCCCGGCTCGGGTCACAGGTCACGACCCCTCCCTGTCCCCACAGAGTACCCCGCGTCGCCCCGAGTCCCCGGGTGGAGAGTCACCCCAAGGCTCGGGACTTGCCGAGACCTTCGACCCCTGACGAGCCCGGGGACTCTCACCCGGTTTCATTTTCGGTTTAGACCAAAATCCCCGCGGGTGGGGGGCGGGGGCGAGTGGGCGTGGCTGACGGCGGGGGCGGGGCCAGGCTCTCACACCATCCAGAAGATGTACGGCTGCGACGTGGGGCCCGACGGGCGCCTCCTCCGCGGGTACCGGCAGTACGCCTACGACGGCGCCGACTACCTCGCCCTGAACGAGGACCTGCGCTCCTGGACCGCGGCGGACACGGCGGCTCAGATCACCGAGCGCAAGTGGGAGGCGGCCGGTGTGGCGGAGCAATACAGGGCCTACGTGGAGGGACGGTGCGTGGACGGGCTCCGCAGATACCTGGAGCACGGGAAGGACACGCTGCTGCGCGCGGGTACGCGGGGCCGCGGGCGCCTCCCGTATCTCCTGTGGATGTCCCCGCTCTGCTCCACAAGGACGGGAGGAAAATGGGACTGAGGCTAGAATGTCACCCTCCCTCTGGTCAGAGTAGGAAGACGCCTCCTGGTGTCAGATCCTGCACCAGGGAGTGACTGAGGACCCGCCCTTCCCTCTGGGACAATTAAGGACCAGTCCCCCAGGGAATGGAGGGGAACACAGTCCCTGGAATACCGATCAGGGGTCCCCTCTGCCCTGCCGCAGCCGCGGGCGCCGTGACTTTTCCTCTCAGGCCGTGTTCTCTGCCACCACTCTGTGTTTGGGGTCGGATTCCCGCCCTTCTGAGCCGCTGCCCTCCACTCAGCCCAGGTCCTGAAGTCTGGGTTCTCCCCTTCAGAGACTAGAACTTTCCAAGGAGTAGGAGATTATCCCAGAACCCTGGGTCCAGGCTGGAGTCTGGATTTCCCACTCCCTTCCCCCACCCCGTTTGTCCTGCACCTTCTCTGGGTGTCACATGAGCACTGCTGGAGTGTCCCCTGAGGGATGCAAAGTGCCCGAATTTTCTAACTCTTCCCCTCAGAACCCCCAAGGACACACGTGACCCACCACCCCAGCTCTGAGCGTGAGGCCACCCTGAGGTGCTGGGCCCTGGGCTTCTACCCTGCGGAGATCACACTGACCTGGCAGCGGGATGGGCAGGACC